GTGAAACAATGCAAGAATTACTATCCCCAAAGCTAACTACCAGGTCAGATTTGGTGGTCATAGCATGACAGTTATATTAATCATCGTACCATTTAAAATATGAACGGTTTCACAAAGGCATGAATATGTATTGCCAGGTTCTCCTTGTGTGATGTATGACAGGATTAGTGTAGTAAAGTAAGTCTAGTCAACAACACCGCCTTTATAATTAACATAATGGAACTTGCTTCCTTTAGCCTTGCTACGAAAACTAATTTCCAAGCTCTGATCCTGATTTATAGGCAATATGTAACTACAGACCTTCATGAAGTAGCCCCAGGTTTTCCTGTTAGGTTTTGTTGATACTTGAAATGTCAGTCAATTTCTGTCCTTTAACTGATTGAAATGTGCCTTAAGTCCACATGTAAGTACTTTGTGTGATTGCCAATGTGGGCATTCCACTTTCCTCAGCCTGTAAAAGCTCCTTAGTTCACCAAATACCACACCACTCTTTTCATATCTCCGCATTCCCTGCCTGTACAGTAATGTCTGTCTCCGCATTCCCTGTAATGTCTGCACTCCTGCTCCTGAAATGCGGGTCTCAAATGGCTGTCCAGGTGTGGATCACCTGCTGAGATTTCAGTCTCCTTTCCCCTCCCCCCAGCTCTGTTCTCCTCTGCACTAGCTGTGTTTCCCACACATGCTAGTCCCCCCTTTACAGCCTGCGTGGAGGTTTGCTCTTTTACTTCAGCCCGTTAAGCAAGGGAGCAATGGTAGGGGACAGGACGAAGGAGTATGCTATTGAGTGGCCACTGAAGAAGGTAGTGTCAGGAGTGAAGGGGCATTTCAGGAGACTAGGGATGTAAAAAAAAGTATAAAAATAGAAGCTGTGTAACCAGTGAAAATTATATCCGCTACGTGGGGATGTAGGAGTAGGGCGGGAAGGGTGCTGGAGGGCTCTTGGCCCTGAGGGGCTCTTTAGCAGATTTCAGCAGTTAACAGGAATCTGTTAACCAGTGAAATGCTTACATCCCTACCGGAGACTAATCTGAGGTGGGATATAGTGGCCCAATGGATAGAAAAGCTGATCGGTGTATCCATGATTAATCTCCCTTTTGTAGTCAAGGCCACAGAGGTGCTGAATTTGCACAATAATATTGCTTATTGATGCTGTAACTGCAGTGTATTCATTTAGGTGCACACAAAGAATGAATGCGACTACTGTAGGGATAGAGGATAATTAAGTCAACATGGCATATTGGATTGAGTTACATAAAGAGCCCATATGTAATGTACCATATGTTTTTCTAAACTCAAATGTGTTAATTTCCAAATTCAGACAGCGGATAATGATCAAGAAACATGTTTTCATGGAAAATAAAAAGTTACAATCATAGGTACAAATGAGGATTGAAAAAAAACAACGGACCCCTTTAAACATCGGTGCTGACTTCCTCAGTTCCTGGGAGGTGGTGGACTCCACTCCACCACTTGACTCAGGGCACTATCCTTCCCCCTCCTCTTCCTGTCCTTGTTCCTTTCCCTCCCCCATCACTTCCTGCATGCTGCTGTACAGCTGATCAGCCGTGGATGGGAGGTGCTGGGAGGGAGTGGAGCTGATTGGCTGGGCTGCTGGTGGTTGAGAGGTGCTGAGGTGGTAAGGGAAGATCCACAGGGCTGCCAGTGGGAGCTGAGCATGCACAATTTTTTTCCTTTGTTGTTCCTGCCGCAGAGCACCCAGGGAATTGGGTGCCGGGCAGTATAAGAGGCAATGTCATCGCCTCTTACTCGTCTCTCACGAGTCTTAGTTCATCTTTCTCCAAGAAGGAAAATAAAAGGGACCCAAATGTCTGTCTATATCTCTCTCCCCTCTCCCTTAATCTTTCTTTAACAAATCTTATTTTAAATGAATATCATGGATTTTTGAATGATTAAATACAGGCAGTCCCCGAGTTACGTGGATCCGACTTACATCGGATCTGCAGTTACGAACGGGGCTTTTCTCGCCCCGGAGGATGCAAGCGGCGGGACGCCCAGATGCGCCGGGGTCCCGCCACCCGCGTCCTCCGGGGCGAGAAAAGCTGCTCCGCGTCCCCCCG